CATTTCTACTCACATGTCATTGGCCAAAGGGGATTGCAGTTGCTATTAGGTACTATTGAGTAGTTTTAACTCATAGAGTCCTATGTACAATAGGATGAAAGAAACACTTTTCATTCCTATGCCATTCTTGCAATCATGGTTGTACTTGGACACATTGCTGCTGTCATTGTGTCAATCCACCTTGTCAAGAATATTCTTTTTGGCTGGCTCCCTACTTTATCAAGCATCATGCCCTTCTGCAGAAACAGGTCCCTCCTAATAACAGACTGGAAATACATGGGAGAAACTCTTGCCATCCTCACTTCTCAGGGACATTCTGGCTGTGTTTCTTCAAAGACAGAGTTAATTGTTTTTCTAGCAGTCCATAGAGTAGTCAATACGCTTTACCTTAGTTCAGGTGCATCAATTCTTCTTTAGTCTTCCTTTTGCACTGTTCAGCTTTTGCATGCATGAGGCAATTGAAAATACTGTGGCCGAGATCAGGTGCATCTTATTCTTCAAAATGACATTTTCACTTTGAAGAGATCTTTTGCAGCTGATTTGTCTAATTCAATACATAAAATAACAAAACAAGTCCACAAGAACCAAAACATGACCTTGAATCTATTCCACTTGAACTTAAAAGTCATCTCAAAAATCTGTGTGTGGTATTGAACACTAATGACTGAAGACCAGATGAGCTGTGGAATGACATCAAAGATACACCATTGACAGAGACAGAGGAGAAAGAAGAAACCAAAACTGATGTCAGAAGAGACTCTGAAAATTGCCCTAAAAACCAAAAAACAAAGGGAAGAAATGTACAATGTAGTGATGTAAATTACACTAATTGTGTTGTGCAAGCATTACCAAGATGGGTCACCAGATTTTAAATCACATACACACAAATAATGCCATAAAAGCATTTTTGAGCAACAACAGCAAAATATGAATAATGTAATTTCAGAAGAAAAGAAAAAGTCTTTGAATTAAATACATTTATTTTTAACAGAAATCCTCATGGTTTTTATTTTCTTCATTTTACTGTAAACCAGTGAGAATAGTGTCATGAAAACCGTGACTCCATACCACAAATGAGATATAAAAGGACAAAACAGAAGCTGAGGATGTTAGAGGAGGAAGTCCAGAGGTTTAGGAATGAGGGGGAAGTCACCGCTTGCCAGCAAGTGATCTCCACCCTCTGAACTGACCCTTAATCTCTTATAAAAGTCTGTGGTGAGGAGATTTGAGTCCTAGACCAAGGATAGAGCTTGAACTGTACTCAGAGGTCACATGGCTTAGTGGACTCTCCCTCCCACTCCAAATGCAGAGATATACTTGTTCAGAACCTGCAGTTAGGATCTCGCAGACCTGTCTCTGCTCCTCACCAGCTAAGTCATGAGGAAGTCCCCTTCCTTTCTGAACCTCAGTTCCTTCACCTAAAAATAGAAGCTACGTCATTTACATGTCATTTCTGAGAAAAATGGAATCCCTCTGTTTAAAAAGAAATTTTGATGGCACAGTGTGTAACTTGTGCTGCTAATCAAAGGTCCGTGAGTTAAATTCCCTAACTGCTCCATGGAAGAAATACAGATAGTCTATTTCTGTAATGATCTACAGTCCTGAGAAACCCAATGAAAGATTGTTTATTGGACCTGACTTGACAGCAGTGGGTTTTGGTTTATTTAAAAAAGAAAAAAAGCTACATGCAGAATATTTTGTATAGAATTTCAGGTCCTTTATTGCTTCTAACCCGTAGTGGACTTCCTAGGGCCCTTGGCCCCCAGAGTTACTAACCCCCAGTTACTACTAGCTCTGCTAGACACACAACTTCTGTTGCCCCCAAATCTACTCCTTTCCTGAGCAGCTGACAAAACTGACCAAGTATCTAACGCTTACAAGGGCGTGGGCTGAAATAACTCTATAAAGTGGGAATGCTATGTAATTATTCACCCCTGGGGCTCCTCTCCAGTTCACAGTGAAGCTAGGAGGCAGGATGAGATATAAAGGCCGATTACTAGTCAACCATGGTGGAAGAACACATATCAGAGGAGTTTCAAACCGTGACTGCTGGAGGGAGAGCAGGTGGTGATGAATGAAGTCCCTTTCTTGGGAACGATGCCTTCTAGGTGCCTAAGACAGTGTAGAAAAGTGGTCAGAACTCAGGCTTGGGAGCTAGACTGCCTTGGACTTCTTTCTTGGCTTTGCCATCCAATTGTGTAAATCAGACAAGTTACTTTATGATGAACTTTCAAGTTTTTAATCTTTAAAAGTAGGCGAAGAAGGGTGCTTCAGAAAAAAGTAGCCAAAAACCTCCTCAAACTTACTGTTATTCAATTGGAAAAGACTCATAACTGATCCTATTTTGGGTTTCATAGGCTATGAATTGTATAAGAGGAGACTCCCAATTTTTCTACCTCAGAACTGCTGACAGAATAACAGTGCAACTCCCTAGGGACTTTGCCAATGAATATTCCAAGCCTTTCTCTCTTTTTTCCTCTCTCTCTACTACTTTATTTACAAAACTCAAATACAAATTAGAACAAATTATTTCAATTTCCCTCACCCCCTCATCACATTGTACAACCCAGTGGTGGGGGGTGGGGGGCGGGGAGGGTTGTAAGTTGATCTAGTCAGTGGTCAGCTCTCTCTATTTGGTGGTCAGCTCCCTGTAGAGGACATTAATCAGATGCCCTCTGACCCTTTCCATGTATGGAGCTGTCTAGGACCCTTTGAGTTCTGTCATGGCTAACACTAAGCAAAAAGTGGCAGGTGGTTGTGATCTTTTCTGATTGGCTATGCACTGGAATGTTTCCCAAGGGGTGTATCTTCACAGAATGCTGCCTAGCTTCCAGGTGACCTTTCAGTAAATAAAATATTATTGTGCCGAAAGCTAAACTTTATTGCTATTAAGTCAATTACTACTGGCAGTGGTCGTATAGCATGGAGAACTGCCCTTCAGGATGTAAATCTTTATGGAAGCAGACTGTCTTATCTTTCTCCTGTGGAACAGCTGGTGGAGCACTGACATTTTGGCTGGCTGCTTAAGGCTTAACCCACTCCACCACAAGGTCTATTTTATTTGACATTCGTCTATCGTGATGGTTAGTGTTAATTACTTTGACTAATATGAAATCCCTACCTAGACCAAGAAAGAACCTGCTACCCAAACAGAGCAAGGAAACACTGCATGGTTTAAAATTAGGAAAGGTGTATGTCAGGGCTATATACCTTTCTCCATACCTATTCAATTTGCATGCTGAGCACATCATTCAAAAACCTAGACACTATGAAGAAGAACGGGGCTTCAGAATCAAAAGATGTCAATCAAGATGAAGTTGTTGATTGCACTTTAACATCAAGAAAACAAAAATTCTCATTACAGGACTGATAGGCAACATTATGATAGATGGAGAAAAGATTGAAATTGTCAACAATTTTATCTCACTTGGATCCAGAAGCAATACCCTTGGTACCAGCAGTTAGCAGATCAGGAGATATATTACACTGGGAAAGTCTGCAGTCAGAGATCTCTCCAAACTGAGGAGAGATGATGTTACTTTGAAGACATAAGATGATTCAGGCCATAGTCTTCCCCCCTCCCAATTACTTGCTATGTATCTGAGAGGTGGATAATGAATAAAGATGACCCCCCAGAAAAGAATTGATGCCTTTGGGTCAAAAGAACAGTTAACTATGTCTTGGGGTAAGTGCAGCCATAATGCTCTTTGGAGGCAACGATGGTGAAACTTAGTCTGACATACTTCAAGCATGTTGCTAAGAGAGGCTATTGCTTGGAGAGGGACATAATGCTTGGAAAAGTAGAGTGTCAGTGAAAGAGAGGAAGACCCTCAACCAGAGGAGATTGACACAATGACTGCAGCAATGGGCTCATGTGTGCCAGAGATGATGATGATGCCACATAAAGTAAGGTTCAGATCTGTTGTTTATAGGGTTGCTTTGAGTTGTGCTCAACTTGACAGCTCCTAACAACAACGCCAAAACCAGATTCTGACTCATGATAACTTCATGTGTGACAGAGCAGATCTACCTGCTCCATAGGTCTTCCTTGACTATAATCTTTGCAGACACTAGCTTTCCATCTTTGGCACTGTGAGGTGAATTTGATTGAAACACCAAAACCCTAAGTCAGTAGTCAAGTGCAAACAGTGTGCTACACAGGGGACTCTGTTAGGGAAGGCGACTGGGGTCAGTGGACAAAAGATCCCTGCAGTGTGGTGAGGTCTGTTACTCTTGTAGAAAAGACTCAGGATGGGGCATCAAGATCTCTTCTTAGAGCAGAAGTTAAAAGCAGAGGCAGCAAGGTGGGAGGAGAATAAAGGCTTCATCCAGAGAGAAATTGATATTACTTTTTGTGTATATACCGTCAAATCGGATCTGACTGGTACAGGAGGAGATTGTCCCTCCTCCAGCAGAGCATCTGGTGGATTCGAACCGTGCAGAAATTTATAAAGGAAGACCTACTCTCCCCAATTCCACTGATTACTGCAATAGGATATTCTTTAATGTCTTCCCCTTGGCCTGATTTTGTAGCTCTATAGGGTTACTTTGCCCTCACACATAACAATCATTAGGAATGGAAGAGGGCTAGATCTTAGAAATCGGCTTAGCCCACCTCTAAGTTCTTAAGATGAAAACACTGGGCCTAGGGGGAGGGCACAGGAAGAAGAAGGAAGCTATTGTTATTTTAGTACGTTTTCTGTAAATTTGAAAAAATCAAGTTTTAATTTAAAGTTTAAACCTTTTTATTGGAAAAAGTACGTAGGCTTTTCCAGTCTATAATCCTGCACATCCAGAACTCATCCAGGTGAGCACCTTTCCTACTCCGTCCCCGCCTGGAGTTTGTAGGTGCTTCTGTCTCGAACTTTCCTCCCTTCGAACGCTAGGGGGAGCTGCAGAGCCATTCCTGTTATCGGAGGCGGAGACAGGGTCGAGGTTGGAGCCCCAGGACAGTGTTGGAGCACGCGTTCACCCTCGCTTGCTCTCTGCGTCGGGGGCCCATGGTCACAGCCCTCGTCCTCCTCGCGGGGTTCCTGCTCCCATGCTGGGGCGAGTCTCTGCGGTTAGGAAGAAAGTTAAAGGTTAGCAGAAGAGCATTTGCAGGGTCTTGCGTGGTAGGTAATACCAGAGGTGGTGGCAGAGGCATAAATGCATTGTGGACAGCTGCATCGGAAAATGCAGCTTGAGTTTAGGAGGAGTGGGGGCGGAGACGGACAACCGGTTGAAAGCACCTCCCCTCCCCCCACTCTTTGTTTTGATCGACACTCAACCCACCTGGTGACCCCTTTAACCCTGGATCCACTTACCCTTCCGGAAGACACTTCCCTTCCCAGCTAAACTCTTTATTTCTTCTCCAGTTCCCCCCCACCCCTCACCCTCTAGGCACAAGCTCTTAACTTCCTTTCATTCCTCCCTCGTTTCTTGACTACCTCCCTACTTTGTATAATTTGCCCAACCCCAAACTCACCCATTTGTTTCAAAGAAGAAAGAGCTAGTGATTTGCTCGCATAAGATTACAGCCTAGAAAAAACCTCTGAGGTATTTGTAATCTATCACATGGGGTCGTGGTGAGTCTCAATTGGATGGCACCTAACAATAAAGTCCATGCCCCATGCCCCTCCCCCACAAGACACCCTTTGCAGTTTGCAGAGTTAAGGGGTGGGCAACAAAAGGAAGCAGAGGGAAAGTGCTAAGCCCCAACTCTTCTTTCCTGCTTCCCTGAGTCCTGCTAGGGTAAAGGAGGGGTAGGATGAGAACCAGTTGGTGAAATTAGGGTGACCATTCCGTGGCTTTCCTTCCTAGACTCCACAAAGCCTTTAAGCAGTGCCAACCTTCCTCCTACCTCCCACATACACAGCCAGAGAGCTAGTGACCCAGGGGCTGTCTGTCCCCAGCCTGGCAGAAATCCTGCCTGTCCCCACAGGTCAATGGGGAGAAGTGCTCCCACCACTCCGACTGCTACAGTGACTGCTGCCTCATCAACTTGGACAATGGTGGTGCCTTCTGTGCCCCCAAGGCCAGCTATACCATGGAATGCTTGCCTCAGGTGATGTTCTTGAGTGGGTGAAGTAAAAGAGACTCAAGTTCCACCTGCTTTTGCATTTCTACTCTGCCTAGACAGTCCTTTCCCACCTCCACCCTGTGCATTCCTGCTAGGCTGACTCCAGCCACCTCCTCAGAGCTCCTGCACCATGGCTCATAACCGCAGCCATGGCTTCTCTTTGCCTCCCTTACTGACTGGGGACCTTTGAGGGCAGCAGTATTATCTTAATCACTTTGGATTCCCTATCCTTAGATGAATTGACACAGTGACTGTAACAATGAACTGTATGTAGCATATCCACGTTTGTGGCAATGGTACAGGATAGGGCAAGGTTTCTATTTGCTGTTTATATTGTTTCTAAGAGTTATAGTCAACTTGGCAGCACTTAACAACAGCAACACCCGAAAACTGATGTCTGCACATCGTAAGTGCTCAACAAACGTTTGTTGAATAGGTTATTATCTGCACTCTAACACCACTAAGGCAAGATAGGTGGGAAAAGACTTCTCCCTGCCAATCCACACCTTCTTGCTGCAAGGACCTAGTTTCTCACCTAATGCACAGCACTGACCTGGCAGGACCACAGCTTTGGAGTAGGACCTGAATTTAAATCCTGGCTTTGCTGCTCTCTATGTGACCTCAGACAGGGCACTCTGTTCCCTGAGCCTGGTAAGTATGAACCTCCAAAATATCAATTAGTAATGAAGCATTTTGTCACTGAGCCACCAGGATGCTTTTATTATGCTCCCCTGATCTACCTGGTCTCGTGTAATCCTCACAAAACTGTTAGGTAAAAAAAATTAAAAAAAACCAAAACAAAACAACAAACCTCCTGTTAGGTGAGGACTGTGATTACCCTCATTTGACAGATGAGAAAATGGAACCAGAGAATTGAATAAGCTTGTCCGTGACCATGCAGTTAAAAGCTATAGAGGTGGAATTGGGCCCCAGATATGTGCCACTCTGGCCCTCGGCTTCTTACTCTTGCTGCTTGCACCTGGGTGACCCTTAGTTCTCACGCTTTCTCCCTACAGACCAAGGGAACCACCAACATCGTCTGTCCCTGCCGACTGGGCCTCAGTTGCATAACCAAGAGCTTGCTATGTCCCCGAAGGTGTTATGTGCTTTAGAGGACCCAGCTCATCCTCACCACCTCTCTCTCTCTCCCCCCTCAGTTAGAGGCTTAGGATGCCTCTATCCTGCTCTGAAACAGCTCATAAGACATTAAAGTCACATCCAGACTCTGGTGTCTGTCTGCACTTCCTGGGCGAGGGATCTGGTGTGGATTTATCACAGTTTGGGTGTGGAGAAAGAGAAGATGAGAGACATGGAGGCCTAGCATGATAGATCAGCTAGAAGAGCATTAAGCAGGGGACTGTGGGTGAGTAGAGAGGCTGGGTCCAGGGGTAGATCATGTCTTGAGATAAGTGGGCTGTGTGGCAGGGTCAAGATTAAGAATATGTCTGAGCATGGGTTGAGTGTTGTTATGTGAGGGGAACAAAAGGGTGATAGTTGCTAGAAGAGTGTGAAAATATATGTGGGAAGTAGAAGTGCAAATTGGTTAACATGCCTGGCTGCTGGCGGAAACATAGGACATTCAGGTCCACCCACTAGGTGCCAGTGGTGGGGAGGCATCGCATGCATTAAGCATTTCCACTCTCTTGAATAGTGTTAGTTCCATTTTGTGGATGAGGAAACAGCCTCAGAGGAGCTACATGACTTGCCCAAAGTAATGCTGTTGAATCGTTGGGGTTATCAGGAAGGACTGCTTTTGTTGTAAGTATCTAAAAAAAATCACCTCAAACTGGTTTTGATGAAGTCTAGAGGCAGGGTAGCTCCATGGCCCTCAGGAAGCTGCAGAGGCTTCAGTGCCCTCTAATAATGACAAGCAGTATTTTTTGAACACTTATTCCATGCTATGTGCCTTACATGTACTAAATCATTGTTATAAGAATGTTACTGTAGAAACTGTGATTTTCTCTTGATCCCCTGAGTGATACAAATGGTTAACAGTACTTGGCTGATAACTGGAAGGTTGGCAGTTTTAATCCACCCAGAGATGCCTTGGAAGAAAGGCCTTGTGATCTACTTCCAAACAATCCATAAGTGAAAACCCTCGAATCTCCCAGGAGTGACTTTGAGTCGACAGCAATTAACAACAATAACAAGAACAACAACAACAACAACAGAATTTTGTACAATTAATGGCATTAATGCACATTAATGGCAAACATCTTGTCAAAAATGTAGATGGTGACTATACACATGACTGATTAAATATTACTGATTAAATACATGGAAATCAAATTGACTATATCTGTGGAAAGAACAGTGGAAAAAACTCAGTATCATCAGTCAGAACAAGGCCAGGAGTCAGCTGTGGAGCTGACTATCAGTTGCTCATATGCAAGTTCAAATTGAAACGGGAGAAAATGAAAACAATTGCGTTTGTTTTACCTGAATTTTTAATCCATACTGAGAATAGATTGATACAGTGAATACTAATGTCCAAAGGTAGATAAATTGTGAAAGGACATCATGCATGAGGAAAGCAAAAAATGTTTAAAAGGAAAAGAATAAAAGAACAAAGTGGATGTCAGAAGAACTCTGAAAATTGTCCTTGCACTTAGAGAAGCTAAAGCAAGAGAAAAAAATGATGAAAAAAGAGAATTGAACAGATTTTGAATGTCAGCTTGAGAAAACAACATCAAATATGAAATATGTTAAGAGTTAGAGTTAGAAAACCAAATATGAAGTATATTAAATATGTAGAGTTTAAGTTAGAAAACCAAAAGGGAAAAACATTCTTGGCGTTTCTAGAGCTGAAAGAACTGAAGAACAAATCCAAGCTTGGGACCTCAGACCTACGATGACACTGAATGATTTTAGAAAGTAGCATATGATCAAGAACCAATAGTACTGAAGAGAAAACTCGAAGCTGTACTGAGGGCATTGGCAAAATAATAAGGCTGCAGGAATTGATGGAATATCATTTGAGGTGTTTCAACAAACAGATGCAGTCTTGTACATGCTGATTAGTCTTTGCCAAAAAAGTTTGGAAACACCTACATGGTCAGCTGATTAAAAAAGATTAGTATTTGTGTCCATTAAAAAAAGAAAAGTTGTACCATTTTATAATCCCATCAGCAGTGCATGAAAGTTTGAATCTCTCCACATTCCCTCTAACACTTATTTCTTGCTGTCCTGTTAAACTTTGCTACTGCTACTGGGGTAAGAGGTATCTCATTGTTTTGATTTGTATCTCTCAGATTGCCTGAGATTTTGAGCATTTCTTAATGTGTGGCTGTTTGAATGTCTTCTTTTGTGAAAAATCTGTTCATATCTTTTGCCCATTTTGTTATTGGGTTATCAAGTTTTTCTTGTGGCGGTCCTGTGGTATTTTGGTAAATTTTTGTTATGAGACCCTTGTCTGAAATGTCATTGCCAAATGTTTTTTCCTCAGTCTGTAGGTTTTCTTCTCACCCTATTCGAAATGTTTTTGATGTACACAGGGACTTACTTTTTAGAAGGTTCCATTTGTCGATCTTGCCCTTTTCATGTTGTGCATTTCTGGCTATATTTGCAAACCTGTCTATGCCCTGGGCTAGGGCTTCTAAGTTTTGGCCCATTTTGTCTCTTAAGATCCTTATGGTTTAGGGTGTTACCCCTAGGTCTCTGATCCACCTTGAGTTGATTGTTTTGTATAGTATGAGATGTGGCTCTTGTTTCAGTTTTCTATAGGCTGATGCCTGGTTTTGCCAGTATCATTTTTTTGAAGAGATTGTAATTTCTCCATTTAATAGGTTTTGATTCCTTGTCAAATACTAGTTGACTGTAGATAGATGGGTTAATTTCTGAATTTTCAGTTCTATTCCATTAATCTATTTACTTATGTGTCTGTTGTTGTGCTGATACCATGCTATTTTGGTTGTGTGGTAGATATTGAGATAAGGGAGTGCTATGCCTCCCAGTTAATTTTTATTTTTCAAAAGAGTTTTACCTATTTAGGACCTCTTTCCTTTCCATAAACTTGGCAATTGTCTTTTCTATCGCTCTGAAAAATGAGTTTGATATAGAGATTGCATTGAACATATACATTGCTCTTGGCAGATTGTCATTTTCACTATGATGAGTCTTCCTACCCATGAATAGGGAATATTTTCCAATTTAGTTAGGTTTCTTATTGATTCTTGTAGTGGTGTTTTATAGTTCTTTTATAAAAATATTTCGTGTCTTTCTTTAGTTTATTCCAAAATATTTAATCCTGTGGTTGGCTATTGAAAATGGTATTGCTTTCTTAGTTTCTTTTTCTGTGTTTTCTTTGATGATATAGAGAAGGTGTTTTGACATTTTCTCAAAAAGTTGATCATAGAAATCTCATATTTCTGTATTTCAGCTGTTGCACTGCTAGAAATATACCCCAAGGAAATTAGAATTGAGCAACAAGTGATGATTTATATACCAGCGCTCATAACAGTTATTAACAATAGCAAGAATATGGAAATAACCCATCTGCTCATCAACAAACAAATAGATTGAGAAGATGTACGTTCATACGATAGAATACTATGTAGTACTAAGGAGCAATGATTTTGCAAAATACTAAAATATTTTGATTTTTGCAAAATACATGGGAACATTTAGAGAGCATTATACTGAGTAAACTAACTTTTTCTCAAGTACAAATGGTGCCTAAGACTATTATTGTTTTTTTTTGTTTGTTTTTTTTTATGGTGAGAAAAATTTATTTCATTTAGAATTAGCCCGCTGGACTCAGTTTAGATGATCCCAATTTTGTTGGCAACATCCAAAGCATCATAATCAGGAGCAAGTCGAACATAGGCCTTCTTCTCTCCATCAGGCCTAATCAAAGTGTTGACCTTAGCCACATCAATGTCATAGAGCTTCTTTACAGCTTGTTTAATTTGGTGCTTATTGGCCTTGACATCCACAATGAACACAAGTGTGTTGTTATCTTCTATCTTCTTCATAGCTGACTAGTGGTCAGGGGAAATTTGATGATGGCATAGTGGTCAAGCTTGTTTCTCCTGGGAGCGCTCTTCCGGGGGTATTTGGGCTGCCGTCGGAGTCTCAGCGTCTTAGGCTGCCGGAATGTGGGTGAAGTGCGGATCTTCTTTTTTTTTTGGCTGTGGATGCCCTTCAGGACTGCCTTCTTGGCCTTCAATGCCTTTGCTTTGGCTTCGGTTTTGGGAGGGGCCGGGGCTTCCTTCTTCGCTTTCGGCGCCATCTTCGTAGAAAGCAGACTATTATTGTTAAAATAGAAAGATAACTAGTAAGATGTGTATAAAAGTCCAAAAAGGGAAGGAGGGGAAAGAAGAAGGGAGTGGAAAAAGGGAGAGGGTTTAACTAAAGTTTAGTCGGCAGATTAGGGAGAGGGAGAGGGAATGGGAAAGATTTAATGGAGACTTGAAAAGATGGTGTAATCATAGGCATAGATCAAAAGTAATTAATTACATAGGATACAGTGTATATGAATGATTGTATGAAACACAATGTAAACGAATTATTGTGTGAAAACCAATGAAAAATCATAAGAAAGGTAATCCAACAGAATGTGGAAACTATTGAACACTATTATTATTATCACATGAAAGTAAAATTATGCTGAAATTGTTTTAAAATGACTGAAGTGGGGAACAAAGAGGTGAGGATGGGCAGGGGGAAAACCATAGGGTAGTATAATTTGGTGGATGGAGGAAAGTGGGGGTTTAAAGAAAAAAGGAAAGATCTGGCAGGGATCTGGAAAAACAAGGTAATGGTGGGCATAGTTCAATTATGATTAATTTTGTCTTTTTTTGGAAACCAGTCAGATTCAGCAGTGGTGGCCGGGGGCGGGGGGGGGGTGGTGTGTTGTATACCAACTTTAGTTGCACTGCTGTAATAGTTTCTGATAACTCACTACCATCAGACCAGGCAGTGGTGATTCATTTTAGAAAACATGATGAATGGGAAAGGGAGCTCTGGTGGCCTAGTGATAAGAAGCTGCCTTGTAATCCTGAAGGCATGTGGTTTGAATCCACCAGCTGCTCCATGGGAGAAGGATGGGCAATCTCTTTCGATGCAATTAATTACCTCTGAAAACCGGCTGAAGGGTCAGCTATGCATTGAT